AAATAAGGATTCTAAGTGGCGGAGGGTGTTCAATTGTTTTCAAGACCAAAAGTAGGGTGGTAACTAGATCCAGTTTAATTAAACACCCATACCCGCTCAAGCCACCCATGGGAGCTTAATTCCGGCGGGTACTGTAAACGGGAGAATACGGTAGAAAGGTTGACTAGAATGAGGCATACATGTTGATTTTGTGCAAGTGTTGTACCCTCTAAGAGCATGCACCTATCTAGCCTATTATAACATATACAAATATGTTTGACACACCCCCTAGGCCAGATGAGGGGCAGTGCCTCGAAGTCGACACACAGCTCAGGGTGGCACTACTAGTCCAGCCTCTGAGGCAAGGGCCCAAAGACCAGTCAGCAAGAGTATAAACAAGACAAGAGCAAACCAGGGCGGCACTACTAGTCCGACCACTGGGAGAGAAGCCATAAGGCCAATCAGAAAGGTATATATAAAAAGAAGTACACAATCAAAGCCCTAGCAAGTAAGTAGCTACAGGAACTAGACCAAGCCGCAAACAGTGCCGCTGATGATCTTTAGGCGCAAGTGCCTTAGTAAAGATATCAGATGCGTTGGCATCAGAGGCCAAGTGTACTACGCGGGCCTGGCGACGCTACTATAGCTAGCGCAGGAGGAAGTACCGCAGCTGGATGTGCTTCGCTCTGCCCTCCAGTCGATGCTCCTGACCCTGGAGGATCATGGCCCTGTTATCAGCGTACAGGACCAGGGCAGAGCTAGGCCGCTCACCTAAGTCTGTGAGCAAGAAAGTCAGCCAGCGGAGCTCCTGTGCCACCATGGCACCAGCGTAGATCTCAGCCTCGCAGCTGGACTGTGCAACAGACGACGAGCGGGTGGACCTCCACGAGACCGCGCCTGCACCAAGGCTAAAGTAGTAGCCCTGGGAGGACCTGAGAGTCTCAGCGTCGACTGCCCAAGAAGCGTCAGTATGCCCAGTAAAGACCATTGGTCTGTGTCCTCCCAGTACTAGCCCCATGCCCAATGTACTTGCTAGATAACGCAAAACCCTGTTAGCGGCCGACCAGTGTTGTGTTCGGTGTCTGCCTGTCGCCACAAAGCGAGCCAGGATGCTGAGAGGGTATCCGAGATCTGGACGAATGCAAGTCATCAGGTACATGAGGCAACCCACCAGCTTTCCGTAAGGACTGCTGGGCTCTAGAAACTCCTCAGAAATTGGAGCTGAGAGCCTGAAGTCTACTGGCAGAGGTGTAGGCTATGCTGAGGGGAACTGAAGGCCGAACCTCTGAAGAACCTGGCGCACCAAGTGTGACTGTGTGACGGTGATGGTGCGCGCTGCTCTCTCCCTGGAGATCTGCAGGCCAAGGTAGCGGCGCAGCTCTCCTAGGTCAGTGCAGATGTGTCTCCTCAGCAGCTCGGCCTTCACATAGGCCAGTGCGTCTCTGTCAGTAGTAGCGAAGACCAGGTCCTCTATGTAGACAAGGATGTAGAACGGAGTCTGGCCAGCACGAATGAAGAACGAGGGGTCTGCAGAGGACGGAAAGAACTGCAGGTTAGCTAGCGTAGCACACAGCGTGTTGTGCCACTCACAGGGCGCTTGTCGCAGGCCGTAGACCGGGCGCCGGAGGAGCTACTGGGTCCCAGAAGGGAAGGTACCGGTGAAGCCCTGTAGCCGGCGCAGATAGACCTCCTCATATAGGCTGCCCTTAAAAAAAGCAGTGGAGAAGTCGAGGGAGTGTAGCTCGTAGTCACGCTGTACTGCTACGTGTAGCAGCGCCCGAAGAGTAGTCATCTTCGGGGTCGGGGCGAAAGTCTGAGAGAAGTCCACCCCCTCGCGCTGACTGAAGCCTCTAGCCACGTAGCACGCCTTGAACACAGGCAGCTCTCCACGAGGCCGCTTCACCTTGAAGAGCCACTGGCCGTCGATTACGTTCATCCTAGGTGGGGGAACTGCGTCGACGTAGGTGCCGGTGGATCTCCAAGGTGCCATCTCCTGCTCCATGGCAGCTATCCACTGAGAGGCTCAGGGTCCCGAGGTCGCCTCAGCGAAAGTGCGAGGGGTCGGGATGTCAAAGGCGTCTAGGTCACCCTCAGGGACTAGCAGCATGGAACAGAGATGGGGAGCAGCCTCGGACAGGAAAGCAAGCTCGTATTGCCTCTCCTCTAGGACGTCAATGCCAAGGGCAGCAGCACCCCCAACGAACGGAGGGCAGGGAGGGCCGGAGACCAGGGCGGTGGCATAGTCAAGGTGGCAGGTAGAGGCGAAGTCAGCGTCAGTAGCGACAAGAGCGTGAAGACTCGAAACAGGAATAGACGGGTCGGTAACGAGGGAGGCAAGGACCCAATGAACAAGAGGACGAGCAGCACGAAGGTAGTCAGACAGAGGGGGAGGCGCGACAACGAGCAAGGATGGAGGAGAAGACGGGAGGAGGGAAGGACGAGACGTGTGGGAATGAAGCAACATAGGGTGAGAACGCGGAACAGGAGAGGCAGGACGAGCACGAGAGGGACGGCGAGACCAGACGCGAGACGGAGCCGTCAATTCAGAAGACAGAGGAGGAGACACAAGGGGGGAATGCGGCGGGAAACGGGCCGGGAACGAGTCCGGCAGAGGAAACACAGGATCGTGGACAGGAAGGGGAGGAGGCGATAGGGAAGGCGTAGGCAAGCGGTCAGGGGAGGGACGGCCGAGCAGGCGAAGGGCGGACACCGGCGGCGACTGCTGCTGCTTCTGCTCAACGCCCACACCTGAACCGTCAGCTGCACCACGGCTACCTCCGGAACACTCCACTCCAGCACCCCCAGAGCAAGCACCCCCAGAGCGAGAACCCTCTCCAGCACCGGTGCCACCCCCGAGCCCGCCGGGACAAGCCACGACAGGAATCCTCGGACTAGCACCCTCCTCAACGCCAGCACCCCCTGAGTCCACGAACGGCTGCTGGTGCTACTGCGACGGCGGCGGCGACTGCTGCTGTTGCGGCTGCGACTGTGACGACGGAGGAGGGGACACTGGGGAAGAGGCAGGCGTCGATAACTGCACCACGGGGCCACCAGGGTCAGCGGACTCCTCGACTGGGACAAGCGACGGGAGGGGAGTTATGTGAGACACACCAGACGGAGTAGGGCGGGGAGGGAGGGGAGCAGGGGCCACCAGGGTAGTAGGAACCAGAAATAGGGGTGGGGAAACCGGGAGACCTCGGTGGGGGAAGCGATTGTAGAAGGAGACAGACTCGTCGAAAGTGACGTCACACGAGTGAAGGAAGCGATGAGACGGCGGGTGGTAAAAGTGCCTGTCAGATGAGTCAAGGAGGAAACCAAGGAAGACACAGGGGACAGTGCGGGCAGTGAGTTTGTCCATGTTTGAGGCACGAACGTGAGCGAGGCATCCCCAGACGTAGAACGCAGATGCGTCACCAGGAGACCCGGTCTAGAGGAGGGTCTGTGAAACCTGCGGCCGCTGGGAGTGGGGCCACAGGTTCAGCTAGTGAGCGGTGTAGCGAACATCGAACAGCCACAGAAAATGGGGTGCACCGCGAGCTCCTCATCTGCACCTGAAACCTTTGCGACAGCCAGGGCACCGTCTCTAGGGCCACTGCCATCGGGGTCAGCCGATACCAGCGCTTTAGACGTCACCCAGACGGCTGCTAGGGAAGCGGCCACAGCAAAAGCATGGATAACGACGTCCTGCCCTGACTTCCCCTCCTTAGAAGCCGACTCATTTCCAACAGCCGCTGAAAACGCCACTTGTATAGGGAGCGTTTCGTCATTTGCCTTCAGACCTCGATAGAACCACAAAATGTTATGAAACGTGCCACAAACAATACAACCACAATCACAATACCGTTATATCCTTGCAACAATTATTGCTCACTTTCTTCTGCGAAACAAGAAGAGAGAAAAAACCCTTATGTTGTCCTGCGTTGGCAGAGGCGTTGCTTGAACATCCAGGTCCACAGCCCCGTAGGCAACTGGCATGCAACATCAATCTCCCCCTTCTAGGCAGCTACCTCTGCCTCTGTCACACCGCACATGCGATCCACGCCCCCATCATACACCGCCAACGCCATCGCCAGAAGATACATCACTTCCGAAAAGCCAGAGAACGTGTCGAAGTACCGCCTCCTCCCCCCCAGAGTCGCCTCCATAGACCAAGATGTAGGGTCCCCATACCAGTTATGATTCTTCCCCCTGATCCCAAACCCCTTTCTCTCCTTCGGACCGCCCCGCTTCGCCCTCCGAGGCTTGCGCTGCCCCTGCCCCTGCCCCAGCCCCTCCTCACAGGCTTCCTCTTCCGCTGCCCTCCCCTCCCCTCGCTCCGCTCTCCGAAGCTGCTCCAGCAACGGCTCAAAGGCATCCGCCATTCTCCCCTGCTCCTCCTCCTCCTCCTGTGCTGCCCCCCCGACCAGCACAAGAGCTAAATTCCACGCCTCAGTAGCTAATCTTGGCGCTGCGTGACCGGCACCGGCTGCTCCCCACTTCGCCAGAACATCAGCCCCAGACGAAGAGGCTGGGGAGTAATCTTGCTCCTCCTCCCCTTCACTCTCTCCTCTTCATTCTCCTCCGGTTTCATCATCACTTTCTCTGTCGCTGTCATCTGAGTCAAGAATCAGAACCTCTATTCCATCAATCTCCTCAATCCCCTCACCGGACTCCCTCTCGAGCACCTTCAGTCCCCGTCCTTCCGCATCCAACCTGGCGTCCGGCCCTTTTCCCTTCGACGCCACATTCGCGCCTTGATGGCTCAACACTGCAGGAGACTGCTGAGGCTACCGGCCATTAGCGGAATCAGCGTGAGCCTTGAACCGCTTTGGAGTCCTTGGGGCTGAAGTCTCTGCCTGCCTAGGAATCACCGCTTCTACTGACGTCCCTGCCTGCCCTGCAAGCACCGCAGCTGACCTCTTGCTTCGGGGAGCTTCTTTCGCCACTCCTTGCCACTGATCTTGCTTCTCCTGCTGCGCCTGCTGCCCTTGCTGCTCTTGCAGTCCCTCTGACACGCTTCCCATCTCCTCTCCCCCACGTGCCTCATCTGCATCCCTACCCACCTGAGCATTCACGCCTGCAGGAACCTCCGGACCTCCTCCTCCTGTCCCTCCTCCTCCTCCTCCTCCTCCTCCTCCTCCTCCTCCTCCTCCTCCTCCTCTCCCTCCTCCTCCTCTACCTCCTCCTCCTCTCCCTCCCCCCTCCCCCCTCCCCCCTCCCCCCTCCCCCTCCCCCCTCCCCCCTCCCTCCTCCTCCTCCCCCTCCCCCCTCCCCCCTCCTCCTCCTCCTCCTCCTCCTCCTCCTCCTCCTCCTCCTCCTCCTCCTCCTCCTCCTCTTCCTCCTCCTCCTCCTCCTCCTCCTCCTCCTCCTCCTCCTCCTCCTCCTCCTCCTCCTCCTCCTCCTCCTCCTTCGGAGGATTCTCGCTGTGCGGCAGCCAGTTGTTCCCTGACCTCTGCAGGATACCGCCTTCGCTGCCCTCCCAGTTATCACTATCACTCACGCCCCTGCTGAATCGAGGTCGTGGTGGCCACTCCACGGCTCCCTCAACTCGTCAACCGAGCCTGCCAGCCGGTTAAACATTCCCCTGGTCTTCCTCTCGACCGACGCCTCCATTGCGAGTGCCGTTCTCTCAAAGGCTGCCTCCAATCCCTTTGCCATCCCTCCAAACGACGCCTCTGTTGGAAGCCCTACTGCAGCTGCGGGCAGCCAGGCGTTGACCGGCTTATGTCGGTGCACCGATTGCTTGGCAGCTACGGGTTGGCGTGACCAAGGTGCATGGACTACTCCTTGCATCCGAAGACTAAGTCTAGTTTGTGTGGACTGGTCCGGAGATGCCCACGACGACCAGTGACTCTGACGAGTCATGAGTAGTCGTAGCTATCGCGATGGACTTCCGTGCGGAGCAAGGCAGCGTTTGCCTTGCTGGTTGGAGTTGCGTACACAGCAAACCCAAACTTGCTGAGTTGGGTTGGAGAATTGGGCGAGGCGCGTTCGCCAAACCCTTCGGCAAATTCGGGGCGGTTGGTTACACCCGCAGCGCTACCCAACTTTGGTTCGGTTTGCACTTGCCTATATATTTACATGCTTGTTTGTACTTTGGATATATATTTTTCTAGTAAACATCTACTCTACTCGAATTTCAACCAAGTACTTGAAGGCAAACTCTGTCCAAATACCACCAGCGCCTAGCACGCTATTAGAATACCGTTACTCAGCTTTACTAGCGCTCTCGCTTAAGCATTCCTTCAGCCTCCAGTACAGCGACCCGTTTCAAGCATATCTGCGTGCATTCTATGGCTGCGTCTCACCGCCTGCTCGTCGCCCTTCTCCTTCGGAGCCCGCATCTCGGCCATCTCCCGCTCCAGCCTCACTATCTCCAGCGCTAGCTCCCGCGGATGCTCCTCTAACAGGTCCTTCACTGTCCAAAAGGGCAACGGTTTCGAGCTGGTTACCATTCGAACTGGTTACCATCCGATTGCCGCGAAAACCACCTGCCTAAACCAGATTAGTTGAGAGTTGTGAAGGACGGACGCTGCCGGTAACCGCGAATGAGTGAGGCGACAGAAGAGGGTCGTGATGGAGAAAATCTAACGGAAAAAGGCAGAATGTATGGGGGTTGGAGCTCCAACCTCCGTACATACAATATCACCCAAAGTGGCTGGCGGGAGGGACGAGTTTACGAAGTGATTAGAACGAGGGACCTAAAGGGGGCTGGAAGCAGCAGCCATGGCGAGCCACATGTGGCGACCTCGGAAATTGGGGAATTGGAACCGGGAATGGGAAATGAAACTGCAATTGAAAGAAGTTGAGATTTGTTCGGCTCTTAGGGCTCCAGATGAGTGCAGTACATTAATATGGGGTTTGGGTTAGGGGAAGCGCAGAAAGGGTATGGCGAGGTTTCGCGAAAGCGTCGCACGCTTTGCGACGCACCTCCGACTCGTGCATGTTGATTTACACGTGAGTCCGCCATTTTGAGCTTTTGTCCGCGGGTAATTCGATAAGCACAAGAATTCTACACTCCCAATTTCATTGTATTCTTAAACATCTAGGTTGGATCTTCACACAGTACTGTACAAGCTGTAGTTCTGTCCTGTACTGTATTGAAAAAACGATGACGACTCTGGCGGTGGCTGGTGGTGTCGCACGTCTGAGAGTGGCGACAGGGGCACCCACTTGCTCTATTTTCATCTCGACACAGAGCACGACAACGCACGTCTCCAGTAGAACGGGAGCAAAAAGGGAAGCTAGCCTAGCCAGGGGTTGGCGAGGCGGGTTTTTCCTGAGGGCGTCGTCGCGCAGTGGTAGATAGAGAGGCTGGACGGCAGACACCTACTTGGTTGAATCGTTGATTGAATCGTCCCAGGAGCGCCCGCCTAGGACAGCGGACGGACAGGATTTGGTTCCGAGGCGAGGAACGGAGCGCCTTTGTTTTGTTTCATGTTTTTTAAACGTCGGTGCTAGCGGCGAGGAGGATTTAGGTTGAACTATGGGGAACACGGAACAGGGGGGACATGTGACAATAACGGAAGAAGGCGAACACGTGATAATAGCGGAGACAGAACGCGACGGATGGGCCGTGGAGGGTGAAGGACGTGGGGACGGGGACGTGGATCTACAGGTGGATGCTTACGTGGCCGCTGACGTGGACGAGGATGACGTGGACGCGTTCAGCGAGGAAATGCACGTGCTGTGGGACGCTCTGGCGATCGACGACGGGCCGCAAAGGGCGGCGCGAATGGCGGAGCTGGGCTACGAGGTTTATATCGAGGATGGACTAGAGGGGTACAGGAAAGCGGCGACAGGAAGCAGCGAGGAAATGACGGAACGCGACGGCGGAAGAGGAGAGTCCGGGGACGAAGCGCCTTTAAGAAACGGGGAGGGAACGCCTGTGCGTGGTGATTATAACGGGCAGTTGGAGCAGCGGCTCGAGTCGGTTCAAAGGACTGTGGGAACGCTGCTGACGTGTCTGAAGCGTGTTCAGCACGTGCTCGAGGCGCCAGAGGGGGAGGAGAGGACGGCGCGGAAGGGGGCGGGGGAGATGCGTGGGGAAGTAATGGGCGAGGGGGAAAGGAACACTAAGAGAGGTGGGGATGGGCGAGGGGAGGTTAAGCTGGAGTGGAGTATGGTGGATTGCGTTGCGACTATGGCGGCGATAGAAGCACAGGTGGCGGAGCTGAGACAAGCGCAAAGAGGAAGGGAGAGAGCGGGGGGCGGCAGGGGAGGGGGGTTGGAGGGGGTTCAAAAGGAGGTGCGTGGAAGCGATGGAGGGGCGGTGCAGGTTGCAGGCGAAACGGGGGAGGGGAATGGAGGCGCGGAGAGCAGGGGAGGCGCGGAGGGGATGCCACAAGGCAAAGAGGGTGGGAGGACCGTGCGCCGGGCAGGAGAAGCAGGAGAGGCAGCAGATGCAGCATTGGCAGCAGGGGCAGGTCGGACAGAGGAAGAGGAAATAGAGGCGGTGAGACGAGACAAGGGCGCGTTGGGGAGAGAGAGGAGCGCATTGCAGCGCGAGAACGAGGTGCTGCGGGAGATGCTGCTGCTGGCGTTCCAAGGGCGGGGGGCCGCAGAGCTGAGTCAGCTCACTCGGCTCCTCACACGGCCAGACATTCTCAGCGCTGCAGCAGCAGAGGCAAAGGCAGAGCAGGCAGACACAGGTACCGACACGCGCACCAGTGCCAGCACGCATGCAGACATGGCAGCAACTTCGCCCACGGATTCGACTCTCACACCGTCTCAGACCACCGCCACACCCACGCGTTCCTCCTCCCGCCCGCTCCCTCACTTCCCCTCGCTCATCCCCCACCTGCAGCTGCGCTCCTTCTCCTTCTCCCGCTCCTCTCCCCACCATTCCTCTCGCCCAACCACCCACCATTCCGCTCACCCACCCCCCACCACAACCCAAGCCTCTCACCCAGCCACCACCCACCACGCAGCCCATCAGTCTTCCCTGAATCGCTCCATGTCTGCCAGGCCCCTGGCCACGTGGCTCAAGTGGCGAGACCGTGACGTTGTGAAGCGGGCAGATGGGGGAGTGGAGCAACCTGAGCTCGCCGCCAGCGCTGCTGCCAATGGCCGTGGTGAGCGCGGTGCAGCGGACTGCAGTGCTGCTGCGCATGCCAACGCTGCTGCAGATGGTGGTGCTGCGGGCGTCGGCGTTGTGCCCTCTCGTGTGGCGTGTGTGCCTGCTGCTGATAGCTGTGATCGTGGTGAGCGAGACACAACGGGCGGCACTGACACTGCTGCTGCTGCTACCGCTACTGGTTCTGCTGCTGCTGCTGCTGCTGCTGCTGCTGCTGCTGGTACTACGGCTACTGCAAATGCTGCTGCTGTCATTGGTGGTAGCACAGAGGCACAGCAAGTGGCCAGCCCAACAGGCAGTGCCATGGAGCCACGGGAAGCTGACAACTGGCACTGCCAGCACCACTCACCATCCCCCCTGCCTGCTGCTGGTGTTGGTGGTGACGGTGATGCTGCTGCTATTGCTGCTGCTGCTGCCGCTGCTGCAGCTGATGGTGGTGGTGGTGTCAGTGGTGGTGGTGAGGTAGTTGGCTCTACATCCGCCCGGCCGGATGCAGCGTTTCCACAACCACCTGAAGCGGTGCCGCCCCCAAGGGAACCAGAAGCTGTGCCGCCCAAACAAGAGCCAGAGGCAGTGCCGACCGCAAAAGACCCAGAAGCCCAACAAGGCAGGGAAGCGCCGCCGTGCGAGTCAGCTCAAACGGCAGTGGAAGGTGCATGCGAGTCGAGCCTAACGCCAAAGGTGGCAGACAGTGTCAAGGGAGGAGGGGAGGGGAAGGACGATACGGGGAAAGCAGTGATGGATGAGGGTGGAGCGGAGGCACGAAGGGAAGGGGAAAGCGGAGACAGAGTGAAGGCTGAAGCAGGGGAATCGAAGGAAGCAGCGGGTGGGCATCAGCACACAGACACCCATCACTCCAGCCCGGCTCACCATTCCGCACTTCCACACTCCGCCCTTCCCCACTTCTCAGACCCGCATTCCTGGCGTCCCCACTCCTCCCACTCACACTTGCCACGCCCGCCCCTCAGCAGCAGCTTCCGCCTTTCCAGCAGGTCGCACAGGTCGGACGGAGATGATGCTGACACCGCATGCCACATCAGCTGCTTTGCTGGCGATGGCGATGCTGACTCAGCATTCCCTGTCAGCTGCTTTGCTGGCAAAGGCGACGCCGACTCAGCATTCCCCGTCAACTGTTTTTCTGGCAAGTGCGAAGCTGACTCAACACGCCATGTCAGCTGCTTTGGAGGCAGCAGGAGCATCAGCAGCTGCGGAAGCAGACACATACAAGGGTCAAAACCAGGAGGGTCGTTCAGGGAGATCCAGTCAGGGACTAGAATCCTCCTCAGAAGAACTGCAAGCGAGCGGCATTCTGGTCCCCAGTCCACCTCTCCCCACTCCATCTCTGCACTATCCCCCTCCGTGCCGTCAGGTGCCACATCCAGCAGTCAGCCTCGCCGGATAGTTGTGCGCCGATTCATGCGCAGAAGCAGCAGCAGCAGTGGGGGGGCCGGCAGAAGAACTGGCAGCAGCAGTGGCGGTGGCGGTGGTGGTGGCAGGAGCGGGAGTGGGAATGAGAGTGGGAGTGTCAGCAGCAGCAACGGTCCCACTAGAGTGGAGCCGAGGAAGGGAACGGAACTTGTGCCACTAGAGTTAGGCAAGGATGTGGAGCGCATGGCACAAGAGCACAAGCCGAGAATGGGAGTGCATATGAATGGGAGCACAGCGGCATTCCCCCATGGCACTCCCACAGCCTCACCTGCAGAACCTGCTTCGGCGGCTGCTACTCTGTCGGACTCGGGACAAGCCCTTGCTCATGATGCGTTAGCTTCTCACCACGTCGCATCCTCTGCAGTCGATGCCTCGCCTCCGTCCATATCGCAAACTACCCAAGAAGCAGCAGCAACAAGAGCAGGAACAGGAGCAGCACCAGCAGCAACAAGAGCAGGAACAGGAGAAGCACCAGCAGCAGACCACGTCGCATCCTCTGCAGTCCATGTCTCACTGTCTACCTTTTCACAAACCATCTCAACAGGAGCAGCAGCAGCAGGAGGAGGAGGAAGAGGAGGGGAAGGAGCAGGAGCAGGAGCAGCAGCACGAGCACCAACACCAACACCAGCAGCAGCAGCAGCAGCAGCAGGGTGGGGTGCTGCGTTCCTTGCCTCTGCAACTGCCACTCGTGCGACTGCATCTGCTGCTGCTGCCAGTTCCACAACTTTTGCCAGACTTACGCCTGCTGACTCAACTAGAAACAACGGCCATCTTCCAAGCCAACCTGCTGCTGCAAGTGATGGTGTTGACACTGGTGCTGCTGCTGCTGCTGCAGCTGGTGCTGGGGTTGACACTGGTGCGGGAGACATTGCATCTACCTCCACGTACGTCTGCAGTTGCTCTTCCTTGCTCCTGCCATGTCTCACCTGTGCCCCACACAAGCGCCTTGAGCTGCCTCAACAACCCTTGCGTTCCCAATCCCTCCCTCTTCCCCTCCCCTTCCCCACTTGTCTGCCCTTCCTCCCCCCTCCTCCCCGCCCACCAGAAGGCGTGTCTACTCTCTATGCCAGTTAGCATCAGCTAAATAGGGGAATCTACTTAATAGTGGGACTCAGGAGCCGACCCAAGACCCACAGCATCCAGCCATTGGGAACTATATAAGCCCCCCCCTGCAACAGTTGCCTCCTAACCAGGTGACTTATGAGTCGATTCAAAAGTCACCCCCTGGAACAGTTGTCTACTAACCATATCTTATACGCTACCGTATTCCCCCGTATAAAACACCTGCCGGAATTAAGCTCCCCTGGTAGCTTGAGTGGGTATGGGTGTTTAGTTTAACTGGATACACCACACCCTACTCTCGGACGTGAAAACTTTTGACATCCCCCTGCCTCCTAGAGATTCCATTTTAGCAGGAAACACCAGAATTTGTGGTGCATAGATGCATGCTGCTGTTCACCTTTTCCACTCCTGCTGGGACAATCGTACCGTAATCCCCCGTATATAACTGTCAACTTATACATATTAGCTATGTAGAAGTTATAGGCTAAACTCGGGTATGTTTCTAGTGAGTACAACCAACTAGTACTTGTTCTAGGTTTCTCCTTCTAGTTTATCATTCAGTTCTTACTTTGACATGGTATCACGCGTAGGTTAGAATCCCCCACCTACCGCTTCCGCCCGTACCCTAGCTAGGCCCCGCCGCATCGCCTCCTAGCCCCGTCGCGCCTCCTAGCCCCGTTGCGCCCCTCCTGGGCCCCGCCGCGCCTCCTAGCCCCGTCGCACCCCTCCTGGGCCCCGTCGTGCCTCCTAGGCCCCGTCGCGCCCGCTAGGCCCCGTCGCGCCCTGCCTGGCCCCGTCGCGCCCGCCTGGCCCCGTCGCGCCCCTCCTGGGCCCCGTCGCGCCTCCTAGCCCCGTCGCGCCTCCTAGCCCCGCCGCGCCCCTTCTGGGCCCCGTCGTGCCTCCTAGCCCCGTCGCGCCCCTCTTGGGCCCCGTCGCGCCTTCTAGCCCCGTCGCGCCTCCTAGCCCCGTCGCGCCCCTCCTGAGCCCCGTCGTGCCTCCTAGCCCCGTCGCGCCCCTCCTGGGCCCCGCCGCGCCTCCTATCCCCGTCGCGCCCCTCCTGGGCCCCGTCGTGCCTCCTAGGCCCCGTCGCGCCCGCTCCGGCCCCGTCGTGGCCTGCCTGGCCCCGTCGCGCCCGCTAGGCCCCGTCGCGCCCTGCCTGGCCCCATCGCGCCCGAATGGCCCCGTCGCGGCCTGCCTCGCCCCGTCGCGCTTGCCTGGCCCTGCCGCGCCTGCCTGGCACCGCCGCGCCTGCCTGGCCCCGCCGCGCCTCCCTGGCCCTGCCGCGCCTGCATGGCCCCGCCGCGCCTGCCTGGCCCCGCCGTGCCTGCCTGGCCCCTCCGCGCCCGCCTGGCCCCGCCGCGCCTGCCTGGCCCCGCCGCGCCTGCCTGGCCCCGCCGCGCCTGCCTGGCCCCTCTGCGCCTGCCTGGCCCCGCCGCGCTTGCCTGGCCCCGCCGCGCCCGCCAGGCCCCGCCGCGCCTCCCGGGCCCTGCCGCGCCTGCCTGGCCCCGCCGCGTCTGCCTGGCCTCTCCCACTGCCCGCCCGGCCCCACTCCGTGCCTGCTCGGCCTGCCGTGCCACCTCGAGCTCCGTCTACTCTGCTAGCCAGCGCTGGGGCGCCTCGCGGCCGCCGTATTGGAGAGTGCTGCCGCCGTGTCCCTGCGTCGATGTGTCCCTGCGGAGCTGTGGAGCTGTGCCGCTGACCCTGCACGATGGCTGACTTCGTGCTCCGACTGGACGCCGAGGGCCATGCGGTTGACTTCGCCGCCTGGCTCTCCGATCTCCGCCGCCATCTTACAGGTCAGCGCCAGGATGGCCACTCTTTGGTTGTCCATGTCGATGGCTTGCTCCCCCGCCCCCCCGCACCTGCTCCCCTCTTTGCTGACCCTTCCTCTGATGCCCGTGAGACCTTCTCTACTGCTGCGTTTGCCTGTGCGGTCCAGGACTCCCGCGATGCAGTCGCTCAGGTTGCTATTAGCCACGCCCTCCCTGTGCCTGAGCGCTCGCGTTTTGCTACTGTTGAGACGGCCAAAGCTTACTTAGACGCCGTTATTGCTCGCTTTTCCACACCCGCGACTACTTCTGCTGGCCGCTTGCTTTTCCCGATGCTGTTCCCAGACCTTGCAGCCTTCCCTACCGTCGCAGACTTTGCCACTCACCTGCGTGCCCTAGAGACCCGCTATCGCACTGCCAGCACTACTGCCCAACTCACTGCGCCCCCCCCCCCCTTTTTGCATGACGCTCTATTTTATCGCCATGCGCCTGCCAGACCGCCTCGCTAGTGCTCGCAATCACTTCCTTAGCCAGCACCCAGGTGACCTCACCCTCACTGCCTTTGTCGACACCCTCACCAAGATCGAGACTCGCCAGCGCACTATCGCTCAGTCGAGCGGTGCGCCGGCAGTCTCTATCTTTCACGGCTGTGCCCCCTCCCAGTGCACGTTCACTGACGTTTTGGCTGCGGTCGCCACTGCGACCCCTCTCACTGAGACGGCTGTTGCGGTCCACCCGCAGCAGCGCTCGCGCCGCGGTGGCCGTGGTCGCCAGGGAGGTAGGGGTGGTGGCGCAGGTGGTGGTGGTAGTGGTGGTGGTGACGGTAGTCCGCCTGAGGGGACTACCACCGGTGGGCAGGAGCAGCAGCCCCAGCCACAACAGGAGCAGCCCCAGCAGCAGCCGCCGTCCCAACAGAAGTCGCCGCAGCCGTGGGCCCGTCTCCCGCCTGGTTGGCCTGGCACCTCCGGAGGTAGTGGCCGTGGTGGCAACCCGCGCAGCTCGGTGTCTACCGGCGGCTCCGGTGCTGTCACTTGCCAGTACCAGCTTCAGACCGGGCCTCTTCGCGGCATTCTGTGCCGCCGCCCGCACCCGACCGCCCGCTGTTTCCGCCGCCTCGACGATCTCTTTCGTCGTCGCTTTGGCCCGGCCCCGGACCTCCCTGACTGGCACAGCCTGCTCCGCCAGGGCGTGCCGATCTTTGAGTTAGACATGGATCAGCTAGGTGCTGCTTTGCATGCCTTGTATTCTGACGCTTCTAGTGTTGCTGGATCTTATTACCCTGTGTACTCTAGTTTAGGTGTTGCACCCTTGTGTAGCTAAGCCTCCCCTGCTGCGTCAGGCGTAGGACTGCCTAGTTTGCCTAGCCTAGTCTCTGCACCGGCTCCGTTCCCGGCCTCCGCCACAGATTCGCTGTCCTTCACTCTCGACTCTGGTGCTTCTGTCTGCTTCTTCTGCGACCGTTCCGCGCTCACGCCGCTTGCTACGCCTGCTGTTGTCTCTCTTGCTGACCCCTCTGCGCGTCTTGTCGTCGCTCGCAGTTCTACGTCCCTTCCCTGTCCAGCAGTTCCCTTGGACTCCCTTACAGGCCTCCACGTTCCCTCGTTCTCGAGGAACCTGGTTGGTATCGGCTGTCTCCAGGACCTCGGCGTCACCACCACGTTCCCCGGGCACGAGCGGTTCGCTGTCTGTTCTGAGGTTGTGTTAGGTTCCCCCCTTGCGACGTTCCCCCGGGACCCGGTGTCCGGTCTGTTTACCCTCGACACCGCTTCCCCCCCGGTTGCTGCGTCCTCCCAGGTCGCTGCAGCTTGCTCGTGTCGGTCCCTCACTCACCCGTCCCTTCTCTGGCACCACCGCCTAGGTCATCCTGCTTTCCCACGTCTGCGTCATATGTCCCAGCACGGTCTTGTCTTAGGTCTCCCTGCGTCGCACCCTGCCCTTCCTCCCTCGACTGCGCCACCGTGCACGCCTTGCGTCGAGGGCCGGCTCCGCCGTACCCCTCACTCCTCGCTGCGCCCTGCTACTGCCCCCCTTCAGACCCTGCACCTGGACGTTTGGGGCCCTGCCCCCGTCCCCGGACCGCGTGGTGAGCGCTACTTTCTTGTGCTCGTCGACGACTACACGCACTACACCACAGTGTTTCCCTTGGAGCGGAAGGCCAACGTGCCCGAAGTTCTTCTCCCGTGGGTTGTGGCTGCGCGTCTTCACCGCGGTCTCCCCGTGTTGTGTCTCCACTCTGACCGTGGCGGCGAGTTCGCCTCTGGTCGGCTTGGACAGTTCTGTCGTGCGGAGGGCATCACCCAGTCGTACACCTTGCCGGACTTGCCACAGCAGAATGGGGTTGCTGAGCGCCGCATCAGCTTAGTCATGGAGGTCGCCCGTACCTCCATGATTCATGCCGATGCCCCCCATTTTCTGTGGCCGTTCGCTCTTCGCTACGCTGCTCACCAGCTTAACTTGTGGCCACGCTCCTAGCGGCTGCAGGTTTCGCCGACCCTCCTTTGGACCGGGTCCCCGGGTGACGCACCTGCGTTCCACGTCTGGGGCTGCCTTGCTCACGTTCGTGCCTCTGGCACGGACAAGCTTACTGCCCGCACTGTCCCCTGTGTTTTCCTCGGTTTCCCCCTGGACTCGTCTGACTGGCTTTTCTACCACCCGCCGTCTCAGCGCTTCCTCCACTCTCGTGACGTCACCTTTGACGAGTCCGTCTCCTTCTACCGTCGCTTTCCTCACCGAGGTCTCCCGGGTTGCCCCGCCCCTGTTCCTTGCCCCCTCTCCCCCGGTAGCCCCTGCTCCTCTCCCTCCTCGCCGTGCCCCGTCTGGTGTCTCTCACGTCACTCCCCTCCCGTCGGTTGTCCCCCGTTGAGGAGTCCGCTGAATCTGGTGGTACCCCTGGCCCGTCCTTGCCGCGTCCCCCTTCCCCGGTGTCTTCGCCTCCGCTGTCGCAATCGCTGCCTCCGCCGAAGCCGCCGCCGCCGTCGCCGCCGCTGCCGTCACCGCTGCTGCCGCCGCCGCTGCCGTCGCCGCCGCTCTTGGCCCCTAGGGGTGCTGGTGTGGCGGAGGGTGTTCGTCCTGCGGCTCCTGGGGGTGCTGCCGGTGTTGGAGGGGGTTCTCGCTCTGGGGCTGTTGGTTCTGGGGGTGCTGCTATTGAGGGTTCCGCCGACGGTCGTCCTGCCTCTGCCGGTCCGAGGGTTCCGGCCCAGCCGACCCAGCCGTCGCAGCAGCCGCAGCAGCCGTCGCCGCCGGTCTCCGCTCTCCGCCTGCTCGGCCTTCCCTCCCCGGACCGCTCGCCGGTGTCTCCCCCACCGCCTGCTGACCTTCCTGTCTACGGTCCTGTGTTCCCGCAGCCAGACTCGTCTCCGACCCGTCTTCCTCCTCGTTCCCCTCCTGTGTCCCCTCCGCTGTCTCCTGACCCTACACCTCCGTCCCACGTTTGGTCTCGCCGTCCCTCCCGTGCTCGTCCCGTCTCTCCTGTCCTGCGCTCCCACCCTATGTTGCTCCGTTCCCACTCGTCTCGTCCTCCCCTCCTCCCGTCCCCTCCTCCCTCGTCCCTTGCTGTTGCCCCTCCTCCGTTCTCTGACTACCTCCGTGCCGCTCGTCCCCTTGTCCCTCGGGTCCTTGCCTCTCTTGTTACCGACACCGCTGTTCCTGTCTCGCGCCTTTA